CTTTGTGTTCATGAGTTCTCATCATTTAGCTTCTACTAATACATAAGAACATGCAGTGTTTTGATTTCTGTTCCTGTCTTAGTTTGCTAATAACCTCCAGCTCCATTCATATTCCTGCAAATGATATCTCATTCTTTTTTATGGCTGCATAGTATTCCATGGTATATATGCACCACGTTTTCTTTATCCAATCAGTCACTGATGAGCATTTAGGTTGATTCCATGTCTTTCCTATTATGAATAGTGCTTATAGTGCTGCGTTGAACATTCATGTGCTTGTGTCTTTATGATAGAACGATTTATATTCCTCTGGGTATATATACAGTAATGAGATTGCTGGGTTAAATGGTAGCTCTGCTTTTAGCTCTTTGAGGAATTGCTATACTGCTTTCCACAATGGTTAAACTAATTTACAAAGACATCAACAATGTATAAGTGTTCCCTTTTCTCTGCAACCTTGCCAGCGTCTGTTATATTTTGACTTTAAAATGTTTCGGTTCTACGTTCACCGATTCTAGTAATTAATTATTTGCCTTATAACAAAAAATGTGATGCATCATTTTATAGCCAATTATGAGTTATCACCATGACTATTCATTTTTTGAACTCTTTTCTAAATGTTTCATTCTCATTAATTATTACTGGGTGCAAATATAAGTTTTAAAACCTAACAAATAAGTTTTAAAAACATAGTGACTTATATTTATATACTACTTTACAAGTTTCAAAATATTTTTATTATTTTATTCTTCTAATTTTGCCAATGTTGATATTTAGAGTTATCTATATATCAGAAGGTGAGTGGTCAATACTTTCAGATGTTATCGAAATAGAGCAGAAAAGTTCTCAGTAACTTTTGACAATGAAGGAATTTTCAGTAATCAAAATAAGAGCCACTTCAAAGGAACAATGAGAGCAAAATCCAGGTGACTTTTGGTTGAAAAAAAAGAATAAGCAGCAACTAAAAAAATATAGTAAGAAGAAAATATTTAAAATTTCGTTCCAGTAACAGTAAAGAAACAAGGGACTTAACATTTTGAGATATTTTAGTAATGTCATGAAATGATTATGGTTATTTTCAGTCCTCTCCTATGAACTTTGTTATATTTCAGCAGCATTAAGGTAAAATACTCAATACTTTAGGAAATTCACTTCGCTCCTAAAATGTTCAAATCATTTTCTGATTTCTGAAGACAGGTATATAATTTAGACTTTTAAAAAATTCTAATTTCTGGGTCGGTTGAAAAAAGCTTCCTGTAATTTGGAACACCTTTAAGTGCTTATTAAATTTGGTCAAATTTATCTATCCATTCATCCATCTAATGTATTTATTTATTGGCTTACTTGCTTGAACTCTCTGTCTAATTGCCTCAACTCTCTAATTCTAATACAAATCAAATTAAAAGCACACATTTCATCTATAAAATGAGAAAGCCAATTCCCCATAGTTACTAAGTGTCTGGCTTATTATTAAGTTCTGTAGTGAAGTCTCAATGCTTCAGAGTTGCTTGGTTGTTAACAATATCTATTGTTTCAGTAGCAGAAAATCTTTCTGAAATGATAAAGAGTTGAGAGAAGGTATGAATGCTGTCAAACAGCTCTTTTGTCTGAAATCACAATTGTATAGACTAAAGCAACTGCATGCCCAGCTTGAGGGATGGGTCATTGAATGGACTCTGGCACATACTTTATCTGAACCCAAGGTATTTGAAATGACATTTAAAACAGTGAGTTCTGAGCTCTAGCTGATATAATAATACAAAAAGACTCAAAAACAAAGCAAGCCATACATTCCACATTTCTCAAGACAGATAAATAATTCACACTTTTTTAAAAAGTCCTGGTTAATGGACTGGTTGAAAAAAAAAAAAAAAGCTTCTTTTTGTTTGGGAAACACTTGAATATTTATGATTTTATAAAGACTGTATAATTTAGGAATAAAACTATTAATAGCCTGAAAATCTCTATCCAATTAATTGCAATATCTTCTTTCTGCTTATCCTTGTAGGAGATGATAGCCATTCCCACAAAGTTGCTGCCTTCTTTACCTTGTTTTGACAACATACCCTTACAAATGATAATGCTGACACATACATCTATGTTAGTCTTTCTATTGAGAGAACATCATTCACTGAAGCAGCATGTTACTGAGGAAGTATATTGAGGCATAGAGTAGGAAGAATGTTTAGGCTGAGATTGCAGAAGGAAACTCTTATAGGGGAGAAAAATATATAATTTTTACTCGTTTTAAGTTCTCCAGCTGGGACCATGCCAATTAGACTAACCAAAGACAGATTAACAAGAGAAAAATACACACATTTAATTAATAGAAGTTTTATGTGGCACAGAAGCATTCATAAGGAAATGAACACCCAAAGAGATGGTTGAGCCTGAGTGTTTTCATACTAGGTATGATGAAGAGTAGAAAGTTATGGAGACAATGTGATAGGGCATGGTTAAGAGCTGAGAATAATAAATGGATCATTTAGCATCTCCCATTTGTTCAGAATTCTGGGACCCGCCATCTTTGGAAATAAGAATATTTCTTTCCTCTGGAGGTGGGGAGGTCACCTCTCACATGAGGATCTTATGACCTACTCCAGGGGAGAAGGGGAAGGTTAGAGAGTTTTTGCAGCATCTGCTGTTTCTCTGACCTTCAGAGGAAAGGGGAAAGTTAGGAAGTACTTCTTGCACCTGCTGTTTCTCAAATTCCTTCAATATGCCAAAGTGCCGAACGTGGAGTAGCCTGTTCATAACCTTGTCACTCTGTTTAGTCAGTGAATCATAGTTTCATTCTAAGTTCAAGCAAGGAACTATCAAAGTATAATTTTCAAAAGTTAAAAATATGACTATAATGAAAATCTAGAATGAACATAGATCAGAAAATTACTTATGGCATTATTGAGGGAAACAGACCAGTACTGCTGGTCTAACCTCATTAGAGGAATTGGGTATTTATGGGCATTTTGATGAAAAATAATATTTAAATGAGATTCATAGGTTAGGCATATAAATGTTTAATGCCTCACAGGGCAATAAAATCATAGCCTTTCAGTTTATCCTTTTTATCAGAGAAGTATCTACAAATTAACATGTAATTTCAGCGTATGTCTGATCAAAAAAATAAGTCAAAGACAGATACACTCTTCTAGAGCTGCAGTATAAAGAATAGTGTAGGGGCAAAAGGAACTTTGCTTCTGTCCTCTGAAGATTCTGTACTTTCAGTCTCTAGAATAAACTGGACAGCAGACATATTAACAGGAGAAAGGGGATGTCAATTTATTACATGCATACTCACTAGGGTTCCACAAAGTATATGACTCCAAAAAAGAGCAGATGGCTGAAGTTAATATAGTATCCTACGCTACAGAAAACAATAAAGGCATGGATTTGAGGTGGTGACAGGTTATGGGAGGTTGAAGGGAGGAAATGCATGGAGGAGAAAGGCTGTCTTGATATGCAGATTCTCTCAGGTAACAGTCCTCAGCAAAAGAGGTGGTGTGTTGACCTTCAGCCTCTTTTCCTCTGACTTAATCTTTCCGGTCTGATGAGATTATAGGGAGTGGGTTTATGACAGATTTTTCTTTTCTTCTCCTCTCTGCTCCTCTTTTCTCCTCTCTTCTCTCTCCTCTTCTTTTTTCTTCTGAAGGAACTTCCCTTTGTCAGATAAAAGAACTTCAGAGAAAACCCATCCCTGCATTGGCTGCTCCCCAGGTGCTTTGCAGTCTGAAGTCCAAAGCAGCATATATTTTGGGATATTTTTTTTCTGAGCCCTGGCAGTAGCCACTAGGTATCTATGTCATTTAAATTTAAATCCCAATTAATTAAAATTAGATATGATAAAAATTCAGTTTTCCAGTCATAGTAACCACATGTTAAATTTGGCTAGTGGTTACTTTATTAGACAGCATAAATAGGAATATTTTTATTGACCTAAAAGGAAGAAGCTGAGGCCAAATTAATCTAAGTAGAAAGTTTACTTGGGCCAAGCTTGAGAATTGCAACCCAGTAGTACCGATTCAATTGGCTCTGAATGTATACTCCTATTAGCAGTAGTTACAAGTAGGTTTTTACAGGAAAAAAAGAGGCCATTCCTAACTTGTTTACTAAGAATTTACATTAAAGTAACCTAAGTTATTGATTGGCTATACATCCTTCTTTGTATCACAAGTTCCAGAAACATGAAGATAATGAGTGAGACAGCTAATCAGAACTGAAATGCCTTTAAACAGCTGCCCCTGGGCTCGGGTGTAGAAGGTATAGCTGAAATCCCATACTCACATCTCTCTGAGCCTGATTAATTTTGAATACCTCACATATCCCAGACTGCTCTTAGCTATTTTTCTTTTCTCACCATCACTGTAGAAAGTGCTGTTGGGCAGCACTCTTCTAGAGAATGAATTAATCAATCCTTGAGCAAGCCTTTTTTACAATTCCTAAGTATGCCATTGAAAGAAACTATCACCCCTCCATTTGCTTTATTTCCAAGTTTTGGATATTTTTTTTTCAAACAAAGGAATCTTACAGATATCCTTTTCTATCTTCTCCACCCTTTCCTTCTTTTAATAAAAGGGAATCAGAAAACAAGGATTTGCCTTACACTCACAAAAGGTATTTATTCCTCACTACTACAGAATTTAGCTGTGCTATTGAATCAGTTCTGTTCCTTCCATCGAGTGAACTAATTAGGACAAATACAAAAAGTAAGAGATTGCATTCTAAATACCTATATTTTAAAATGTGGAAACTGTTTATCCTTGTATCTAGGTCATCTTCAATCTTCACATAGCAAGAAGAAAGGCACCAAGATGTCGTCATTATTTTACATAATTATTAAGTCACATTTTGGCATAGCAAGAGACTTTGCAGTTTCTTTTCATAAAAAAATGTCTATACTTTTGAAATGTCCTCTATGATGGTTTGGAAACACTTACGTTATTTTTGGATCATGATACTAGGTTGCATCTGTGATTCAATGATTTTGTGTATGTGTTTTTCAGATGTTCAGCAAATGGCGATTGACTGGCTGACCCGAAATCTCTATTTTGTGGACCATGTCAGTGACCGGATCTTTGTATGTAATTACAACGGTTCTGTATGTATCACCCTGATTGATCTGGAGCTTCACAATCCTAAAGCAATAGCAGTAGATCCAATAGCAGGGTAAGAAATTCTTTATAGTGTTTGTTCTAAAAAAGTTTGCATTTAAAAAGAAAAGATTGAAGAATGACAAGTGTTGTTGTGGAAAATAAGACTACAGACTTAAACTTTTTAAAAATGTTGATTTTATCAACTGTGTCGCAGGAAGCAAAAAAGGCTATAACTCACCAGGCAGAAACTGGTGAGTTATTAGCACATGAATATTGCAGGTCTAATGTAAGACACAAATAACCTTCCATCCTTCCTTCTACCTTCCCAAGAATTGCATCGGGGTCGTCAGAGAAAAGCCTCAGCATATTTTTAGGTTAAAGAGAGGAAACTTTTTAGTGCTTAACAAGGAACTTTGTAGTTAGCAAACATCAAGGATGTTACTCGAAGGATGTACTGTTGACATACTTATATCCAGCATAACATTTAGGATTTACAAAAGGGGCACAACATATGTTTACCCGGGTACTAGTAAAACATTAAGAATATCTTTGTTCAGATTCTCTTTATGTTTGGTGACTCTCTCTCTCTCTCTCTCTCTCTCTCTCTCTCTATATATATATATATATATAAACCCAAATATTATTACAGTGTTAGTGAATTCCTCATCAGAATTCATCTTTCTTTTTTTTAACTTCCCAATTTCTCGAACTACTTTATTGGTTGAATAGAGACCCTCTGATGTTCTTTAGCTAATAGGCTCATTAATCTTTTTACCACATTTCATAATTTGTAAAAATATAGTCATAAAATGTTTACATTCCCATCATATTTGCTCATATGATTAGAAAATCAATACAGGAATTATGCTCTTATTTTACAAACATGGTGGTATTATTAGAGGGCAGGAGCAAAACTCAGTTCTTTCAGCAGTCACTATTGGACAAGGATACTTTCAAATTAACTACATAGTGTACCACTTTATTTGAAGGGGCTATTATTTTTTTAAGATATAAATTGTAGCAAAGATTTGAAAATTGAAATGCTATCCTTGTTATTGTTTTAATCGTCCTCAGGCCTGTCTCTTATACACATCGTAGCAAAGATTTGAAAATTGAAATGCTATCCTTGTTATTGTTTTAATCGTCCTCAGGCAGTTCAGGCTGAAATGTCTGATGGAACATATCCTAAACTGCCATAAGCCTCCATTCAATAAATCGGAAAATATTTACCAAAGAAACAGCTGTCATCCATATGTGGACTTTTGTCACTCTTTACTTAAAGTCTGATTGAATATTAAGATGCATCATCACAATAGTTCTGATTTTGACAAGAACAGCTTGCACGTAAGAACTTTGCTGGGAAGGCTGTGTAATATAATTCTTGAATGTAGCTCTATTTGTATTTGCAGCAGATGGTTACTTGACTCAATCTGACTGCAGTGATGCTTCAAAAGACATTAGGAAAAGAAGTCGTATTTAAACTGATTTGTTTGGGTTGTTGGTTAAGGGTAGTAAGAAAGAACTGGAAATTTACTAACGCACTAACAACATTCTTTTGGCATCCTGTTTAGAAATATATTTGCTTGCATGGTTTTCCCTGGATGTGATAACTGAATTTAAAATTAGCCTTTAGACAGTCTTGTCTGTCAAATGTTAAGAGTTGAAACTATAAAACTGTTGTGTTTTCCCCATTTTTCTACTGCTCTTATCCTTCCCCATTCTTAAAAACAAAGATCCAGAGACCCTTTTCAAATAAAACTGCCAATCTGAAATATATGGGAACACCATCTCCCTTTCTGAACAACAATATATTTTATGTTCTCAGGTTTCCTATTTCTCCTTGTCATTATATGAAAGAACCATATTTTATCATTTTTTTCAAAGGAATTAAGAGTAGAAAACCCCCACATCATTTGCTCTTATTCTCTGCTGGATTCCTTTAGGCCTCGTAGGTGTTTAAATGTAATTTTGTCATGTATCATTTATCAGAATAGGTTCTTTGGAATTTTTGTTTGAGTTTGGTCTGTCTCTATAGCACAGTTGTTCAATCATGAATCATAGATATCAGAGAAGGAAAAGCTTGGCTTTTTTTTTATAAATGCAGGCCTGGTTGCCACAGAACACTTTCAAATATATTCTACTTTTCTCTTAATAACATAAATTTAGGTAGGATTGATGTGATTCTATCTAAGAACAGAAGAGAAGATTTTTTCTTTAACTTCTACATTTGGGCCTGGTCTAGAATAATTTGAATAGATTTTGGTTAAAAAAACTGCACATGACCTACTAAAGGGGAAATGTTCTGCCCCTAAAATTTCTCCTAGATTTTCCTAATTTTACAGATGATATGTCTTTGGCTTTGCCTATTATAACTTCTGTTCAGAAAATGTCAGAATGTATACATAATCTGACCTAACTCCTAGAAATTAACATTCCTAGGTTTTAAAATGGAGAAAAAATTGCCATACCCCCAAATAGGCTGCCTGGAGAAAGTACCTGTTACTTAAGCATACTGTTTTTTTGGAGACAGAGTCTCGTTCTATTGCCCAAGCTGGAGTACAGTGGCGCAATCTCATCTCACTGCAACCTCCGCCTCCAGGGTTCAAGCAATTCTCCTGCCTCAGCCTCCCAAATAGCTGGGATGACAGGTGCCCACCGCCATGCCTGTCTAATTTTTGTATTTTTAGTAGAGGTGAGGTTTCACCATGTTGGCCAGGCTGGTCTCAAACTCTTGACCTCAAGTGATCCTCCCACCTTGGCCTCCCGAAGTACTGGGATTACAGGTGTGAACCACTGCACCTGGCACTTAGGCACATTTGTAACTTCATTTTTCTCAACCTCCTATTCTTTTGTTGCTAAGGACTATTGAAGAAATATAATTTTTTGGTTCTTTTTTGTTTTGTTTTGTTTTTAGTTCTCCGTGGTTTGAATACAGATCATTAACTTTCTCTGGACTCTCATTATGACTTGAGCCAAGCTCCAGTCCCAATCTTCCAAGAAGAGATTTTTAAGTCAACCTTGTTTTTAATTCTTTTAGATTTTTAGATGTGGACATTGACTCATTAATTCAGGCTATTTCCCAGAGATGCTTCTAGAGATTTTCTTCTTCCTTTCAAAAAATTTTAGCAACATTTCCTTTCAGTAGTTCCTTGGAAAAGTTTCCAAAATTATTTCTCTATAGTCATTAGAGTTGGCAGGTAGCATAGAGATCATATTCCAACCAACATCAAAAACTGCATTTCTGTCAGATGGTGATTAGGTCTCTGCTTCTTTAATGGTTAAGAACTTGATGCTGGAGTCAGTCTCACTGAGATCAAATCCTGGCGTCAGCGGTTACTAGCTGTGTAACTTTGGATATTTCTTCTGCCTTTGTTTTCTTATCATAAAAACGTGCATTATGATAGCCCTGCCCTGCAGGGCTGTTGAAAGGATTAAATAAGGTCAAATACATAAAGAACTTTAACAGTTTGAGTTGTGGAATATGTGAAGTTTCTTCTTCATTTTGCCACAATGATAATTACTAATATTTTCAACACTTATGATACCATTATGAATAGAATAATGAGACCAATATTCTACCCCATCAAAGATGACCTTTTTCTTTTCAGCCACAGTCTCCTTCTACTACAAATCCTTCTAAAAATTT